TGCCATTTTTGTGTTTCTTATAGAATTCCACATAAACTGCATTATTTTTATGAGAATTTTATAAGGAACACAAAAATGGTAAAAGAAATAGGGGTTGCCATTTAAAATTTTAGGGATAGGTGCCTTGGGGGTCAAAGGGTTGAAAATAACACGACAACAAATGCCTCAAAAATTGTGACCCTTGATATGTAAATTGTCGTATATTGCCAAATTTTCATACTATCATCGATAGAGGTAATATTAAATACCGTTCGTTTTCAAATTCTGACCCTGTATGTGTATAGTGTATATATGTATTTATATTTTTGTGACATTATTATTTAAGTGTCTTTTAAATCGTACCGTGGAAAATTTGTGTAAAGAACATTGACTGGATTTTTAGTGAAATGGCACATTTGTTTATAAATGTAAGGGTAGGTTTCATTTTAACATAATTTGTATTTATTTTTAGATTTATTTTCCTTTTTATGTAAACGTCCAAGTAACGTTGTAAGACACCAATTAAATTCGGTCGCGTCTTAAAAAAAATCGATACAATATTTTTAAATATTGACCTCCCTACAATAATAACCACGAGCCGTCACTGCTTTACAGTAAAAAAACGTTATATTAAGAAAAAATCTGAAATAACTACAATTATAATAATATATCTTATCTTCTTAATCGAAGGCAGCAGATGAAAATCTGAAATATAATATAATACAGTAAATAATAAGTAAATATAATACTATATATAACTTTTTCTGTAAATTTACACTTTTTCTGAAAAATTTCACTTTTTCTGAAAAATTTCACTTTTTCTGAAAAATTTCACTTTTTCTGAAAATTTTCACTTTCTGAAAAATTTCACTTTTTCTAAAAAATTTACATTTTTTCTAAAAAATTGCACTTTTTATGAAAAATTACACTTTTCCTGAAAGTTTACACATTTTTTAAAAAAAATCACTTTTACTGAAAATTTCACTTTTTCTGAAAAATTTACATTTTTTCTAAAAAATTGCACTTTTTATGAAAAATTACATTATTTCTAAAAATTTACACTTTTTCTGAAAAATTTCACTTTTTCTGAAAAATTTTACTTTTTCTAAAAAATTTACATTTTTTCTAAAAAATTGCACTTTTTATGAAAAATTACACTTTTCCTGAAAGTTTACACATTTTTTAAAAAATTTCACTTTTACTGAAAATTTCACTTTTTCTGAAAAATTTCACTTTTACTGAAAATTTCACTTTTTCTAAAAAATTGCACTTTTTATGAAAAATTACACTTTTCCTGAAAATTTACACATTTTTTTAAAAATTTCACTTTTACTGAAAATTTCACTTTTTCTGAAAATTTTCACTTTCTGAAAAATTTCACTTTTTCTAAAAAATTTACATTTTTTCTAAAAAATTGCACTTTTTATGAAAAATTACACTTTTCCTGAAAGTTTACACATTTTTTAAAAAATTTCACTTTTACTGAAAATTTCACTTTTTCTGAAAAATTTACATTTTTTCTAAAAAATTGCACTTTTTATGAAAAATTACATTATTTATAAAAATTTACACTTTTTCTGAAAAATTTCACTTTTTCTGAAAAATTATACTTTTTCTAAAAAATTTACATTTTTTCTAAAAAATTGCACTTTTTATGAAAAATTACACTTTTCCTGAAAGTTTACACATTTTTTAAAAAATTTCACTTTTACTGAAAATTTCACTTTTTCTGAAAAATTTCACTTTTACTGAAAATTTCACTTTTTCTAAAAAATTGCACATTTTATGAAAAATTACACTTTTCCTGAAAATTTACACATTTTTTTAAAAATTTCACTTTTACTGTTAAGTAAATATAATATAATATATAAGATGTTCTTGGATTAATATAATCCGAAAAACTGTTGCCCCTTTTTGTAGACATTTCTCAAATGAAAATCCTCATTTCGTTAGTTTTAGATTAGCAAAAGGTCTGTGTAACAGCTAAAGCAATAGCAGCGTTCTCTGTTTATTCTTCTTCGGCTAGATTGAATTATTTCGCAGAAGACTAATTGTCGGTGCCCATTCTGACGCAGCAAGAACGAAATTTCATTAATCCTCATCTGCTTAAGTGTAATTTGCTAAGTTTTATTGCGATCCTCCCGAGGAAAAAAGTACTTCGGGGATTTGAGCACGAATCGACTTAGATTTTTCTTCCGGGGAAATATTTAATTTTATCTCGGCGCTGAAAAGAGAATTCAATAAATTGTGTTTCGGCCGGAAGAGGCGAAGAATGTTAAAACCTTTTAACCTCGATAGATAATTCTCGCTTTATTAACTCTTTTGTTGTTCTTTGTTTAAGGGGCATTGCATTCTCAACTCTGATGCATAGCGCATCTCGTTGTAATATATTCGTTTATTTTGACAATTGTGAGACAGGAAATTGTAGAGAGAAACAAGCCTTACAACATAGGATACAACATTTTAATGAACAGTGCTTTCCATAAAATCAATCAAATGAGAAATATACGAAATAATATACATATGTACTGATTTCTTTCGAAAATCGACAACTATGGGACTATGATCCCTCCCCCGACACAAACGGTACATTGTGAGACAGGAAATTGTAGAGAGAAACAAGCCCTATAACATAGGATACAACATTTTAATGAACAGTGCTTTCCATAAAATCAATAAAATGAAAAATATACGAAATAATATACATGTAGATACTGATTTCTTTCGAAAATCGACAACTATGAAACTATGAACCCTTCGCGGACACAAACGGCACATTGTGAGACAGGAAATTGTAGAGAGAAACAAGCCCTATAACATAGGATACAACATTTTAATGAACAGTGCTTTCCATAAAATCAATAAAATGAAAAATACACGAAATAATATACATGTAGATAGGTACTGATTTCTTTCGAAAATCGACAACTATGAAACTATGAACCCTTCCCGGACACAAACGGTAATTTGTGAGACAGGAAATTGTAGAGCGAAACAAGCCCTATAACATAGGATTCAACATTTTAATGAACAGTGCTTTCCATAAAATCAATAAAATGAAAAATATACGAAATAATATACATGTACTGATTTCTTTCGAAAATCGACAACTATGAAACTATGAACCCTTCCCGGACACAAACGGTACATTGTGAGACAGGAAATTGTAGAGAGAAACAAGCCCTATAACATAGGATACAACATTTTAATGAACAGTGCTTTCCATAAAATCAATAAAATGAAAAATATACGAAATAATATACATGTACTGATTTCTTTCGAAAATCGACAACTATGAAACTATGAACCCTTCGCGGACACAAACGGTACATTGTGAGACAGGAAATTGTAGAGAGAAACAAGCTCTATAACATAGGATACAACATTTTAATGAACAGTGCTTTCCATAAAACCAATCAAACGAAAAATATACGAAATAATATACATGTACTGATTTCTTTCGAAAATCGACAGCTATGAAACTATGAACCCTTCCCGGACACAAACGGTAATTTGTGAGACAATAAATTGTAGAGAGAAACAAGCCCTATAACATAGGATACAACATTTTAATGAACAGTGCTTTCCATAAAATCAATAAAATGAAAAATATACGAAATAATATACATGTACTGATTTCTTTCGAAAATCGACAACTATGAAACTATGAACCCTTCCCGGACACAAACGGTAATTTGTGAGACAGGAAATTGTAGAGAGAAACAAGCCCTATAACATAGGATACAACATTTTAATGAACAGTGCTTTCCATAAAATCAATAAAATGAAAAATACACGAAATAATATACATGTACTGATTTCTTTCGAAAATCGACAACTATGAAACTATGAACCCTTCCCGGACACAAACGGTACATTGTGAGACATGAAATTGTAGAGAGAAACAAGCCCTATAACATAGGATACAACATTTTAATGAACAGTGCTTTCCATAAAATCAATAAAATGAAAAATACACGAAATAATATACATGTAGATACTGATTTCTTTCGAAAATCGACAACTATGAAACTATGAACCCTTCCCGGATACAAACGGTACATTGTGAGACAGGAAATTGTAGAGAGAAACAAGCCCTATAACATAGGATACAACATTTTAATGAACAGTGCTTTCCATAAAATCAATAAAATGAAAAATATACGAAATAATATACATGTACTGATTTCTTTCGAAAATCGACAACTATGAAACTATGAACCCTTCCCGGACACAAACGGTACATTGTGAGACAGGAAATTGTAGAGAGAAACAAGCCCTATAACATAGGATACAACATTTTAATGAACAGTGCTTTCCATAAAATCAATAAAATGAAAAATATACGAAATACATATACAGGGTGTTTCAAAACAAATGCGAAAAACTTCAGGGGGTGATTCCTTGTTCAAAATAAAGGGTAGTTTACTTTATAAACGTTGGGTCAAACGTCAACCATTAGGGAGATATCGCGGTACAAAGATGGCGGAAAAATAATGTTTTTATTTTTTATCTTGAAAACGAAAAGAGATAGACTAATGAAATTTTACGGAAGCATTACTGTTATGAAAACACACTTTCTGGTAATTTTTTCACTTTTTTAAAATGAGTGGAAGGGGTTGAAATAAACTACCCTATCATTCTTGTTAATGAAATTTAAAGAAAAATCTTATCAAACACATGCAAAAAAAAATAATTTTGATAGTTTAGTTTATTTAGAAACTTTTTTTTCTTGTGTTTTTTGATAAAACTCACCGATTTGAAATTAAAAAATAAAATGTAAAGCATTACATGTCAGGACAAAAAACATTTTTAGATAAAGAATCTAGTGGGCAGCTGTAATTTTTTTAGGAATAAATCTAGTCGGCCGCTGTCACTTTTTAGGATGTTTCTAATATTGTTTTATTTGACATTACCCTACTGCAATACGTTATTATCTAGTTTTTTTTTTTTTTTTTTAAATCTCTCGCTTTTTGCGGTTGGTATGAAGGAGTATAACCGGGTTTTATCGACCAAGGTTATTAATCCTTTACTAAATATCTTCTAATTATATGACAGGTGCCCAGAATAGCTGCCTTTTGTGCAATTCCTGCTAATGAGTTCTTTAGATTCAGCGTTTGTAAGTTGTTCATGAATCTTCTTTCAATGAGTCCGTTGCACGATATGATGAGCGGTAATATTTGAACTTTCTTCAGTTTGTACACGCGTTTTAATTCGTAGCTTAGGTCTTGATACTTATTAATTTTTTCTGCATATGTTTTTCCCAGATTATCATCAAGTGGTACAGCTATATCTATCAGTTGTGCTATTTTTTGTTTTTTATCAATAAGAAGTATGTCGGGTTTGTTGTGTGTTATTTCTTTGTCGGTTATTATTGATGTGTCCCAGTATATTTTCCAGTTGTCATTTTCAACGACTGCCTGAGGAGTATATTTGTAATAAGGGGTTGTTGATGAACTCAGTTTTTTCAGGTGGCATATTTCACTGTGAATTAGTTTTGCTATGTCGTTATGTCTGTCCAGATACTCCCTGGGAGCTATACTGCTGCAGCCACTACTTATATGTTGTATTGTCTCTATTTGTTTATTACACACTCGACACAATTCGGATGTTACGTTTTGTTTCAATATATGTTTAGCATAGTTCCGAGTAGGAATTACTTGGTCCTGGATAGCATGAATAAACCCTTCTGTCTCGCGGTCTAGTATTCCCTTCGCCATATATTTTCCGGTGTTTTTATGATCTACCTGGTCTCCTGTCAGAGTTGCATGAAATCTGCCGTGCAATACTTTAGATCGCCATTCGTCAACATGTCTTTTATTTACATTGGTTGAGATATCTTCTTCAGATGGTTCCGATAAGTTTAATGCTGTAAAGTGTTTGTCAACTTGAGATATACACCGATACAAGGAATGTTGGTGCTTTTTAAAGTGCCGCATTAGTTTATTTATTTGTACTTCGTACGCGTCTTCTAAGTTAAGTAGACCTCTACCCTCTTGATTTCTAGATATATATAGTCTCGATGTCGACGATTTTGGATGATGACTTCGGTAATCAGTAAGTGTGGTACGTATTAGGCGATCGAGTGTTTGCATATCTGTTTTTGACCACTTGAGAACTCCAAAGGATGCAGTTATAATGGGTAAAACCCAGCAGTTAATCGCTGTTATGGCATTCCTTCCATTAAGCTGTGTACTTAATATTGCTTTGAGTCTTTGTTTAAGTCTAGCTTTAAGGTAATCTTTCATTTCTGCTGTTTTAATATTTAGGGCTTGCTTGAATCCTAGATATTTATAACTTTCTTCTTCTTTCAGATGCTCAATCGTTGTTCCATCGGATAGTAATGTTTCCCCTTTGTTGTCTACCTTGCCCTTTTTTACATTAAGAACTGCACATTTTTCTAGACCGAATTCCATTTTTATAGTCTTACTAAAATTTTTAACTATTTCAAGTTCGCTTTTAAGTTGTTCACTATTACTGGCGTATAACTTGAGGTCATCCATATAGAACAAATGTGACAGCTTTTCACCTTGTGTTCCAGCGATTCGGTATCCATTATTTAGATTATCTAGATTATTATTTATTATCATTATTATCACTATATTCTTAATCTAAAAATATTTTTAGTCCTGACATGTAATGCTTTACATTTTATTTTTTAATTTCAAATCGGTGAGTTTTATAAAAAAAATACAAGAGATAAAAAAGTTTCTAAACAAACTAAACTATCCAAATTTTTTTGCATGTGTTTGATAAGATTTTTCTTTAAATTTCGTTAACAAGAATGATAGGAGTAGTTTATTTCAACCCCTTCCACTCATTTTAAAAAAGCGAAAAAATTACCAGAAAGTGTGTTTTCATAACAGTAATACTTCAATAAAATTTCATTAGTCTATCTCTTTTCGTTTTCAAGATAAAAAATAAGAGCATTATTTTTCCGCCATCTTTGTACCGCGATATCTCCCTAATGGTTGACTTTTGACCCAACGTTTTTATGAAGCAAACTACCCTTTATTTTGAACAAGGAATCACCCCCTGAAGTTTTTCGCATTTGTTTTGAAACACCCTGTATAGAGTACATGTACTGATTTCTTGAATCGGTCTACTGAAACACAATATATTATATATATATAACTTTGAAAAACATCAATATTTTGTTCGTTTTTCGTGCCGGTGAGTGTATTTTGTACTTCTCAGTTCATTTCCTGTAGCCACAAATCCTAACTTATTCAAATACTCTCTGGCTCTGCTGTTTAACTTATAGACAACCCACGCAATGGCTTCTCGCAGAAAAAGAACAGACCCAACGGCACTACGCAAAGCCATAAAACAAAGTTTCTGCCGCATTATAATTCCGACAATGCAAGCAAGCGGGCTTTCGTGTCCGCCATTTCCTCCATTCTTGCGGCTAAATTAACATTGTATTTCTTTTTCGGAACTCGGTTTTCTTCTTTAACTAACGACGTCACGAAATTGAAACATAAATTAGAAATTTGCATCGAATTAAACGAACAAGCCGCCAGCGGTAAACACAAGAGCAGAATTGTACCAACACCGCAATTCGATTCTTTTTTTTTGAGTATCGTTTGGAGTAAAAATATTGGAAATTTTGGACTGTTGAAGTCAGGAATATACATATATTAAAAAAATGTCTATACCTATGTGGCGGATTCATCTCTCCAAAAAAATCCTTTATGGGTATTTCGCCACTACACTGCAAGAAAAATCCAAAATAAAATAGTTATTTTTTGTAAACACTTCTACGCTAAACCTAAACGGACACTGCTTGTCAGAAGTTATGTTTACAGTAATAAAAATTTGCCTAACAAAGAAAAAAAGGCTTAACGTTTCGGAAAGTTTATCTCTTTCCGTCGTCGGAAGCAAAAAAAATACAAAGAATAAAGAAAAAAACGCACAAAAATTATCGCATCACCAATGTTTCTAAATATTGTAACTACGTATAACGTATTTTTTTTAATTTTTTGTCTACTTCCCGAATAGGCATTCTTTAACTGATAATTTCGAGTTAAAGAAATGTATCCTTTTTTCTTTTATTAGGTTCTTTTTTCCTATTGCTAGAAAAAATGCTGATAGCAAATTATTCTGATTTGCAATATGCTGTTTATTTCTGTGTTTTCTGCTTTGGTATTAAGTCGTGTGTTAGAGGTGTGTATAATGGCTGCTCCCCAACGTTTAACACGTTATTTGACAGATTAAGAAGCTGTCAGAGTAATTGCGCTAATTGAAGACGGGCGAAGTCAAAGATATGAGGCAAATGTAATTGGTGTTTAACAGAGTACCATTTCAAGAGTTGTTCGAAGGTATAGGGAGACGGGGCAGCACTCTAGAAGGGAGGGACAAGGTCGTCGCAGAGTTACAACAGCTCTAGATGATCGTTTTCTACGACTTTCGGCCCTAAGAACACGACACTGCACTGCTCGAATGCTCCGAAATGAAATTTTAGCTGCTCGAAATATTCAGATTTGCGTACAAACCGTACTTAATCGACTTAGAGAGCATAATATACGTGCAATGGTACCAGTATTTGCTAGAGACCATCTTGGATGGGATTTAGAAGAATGGTCTAATATCCTCTTTACAGACGAGTCTAGAGTTTGTTTGTTCACTTCAGATAGACGTATACCGAAGACCAGGCGAGCGGTATTTCCAATGCAACTTTCGTGAAAGGCAAAGTTTTGGCGGTGGGTCAAATGGTATGGGAGGGAATTTCTCTTCACGGACGAACGGAGTTAGTAGGTGTTAATGATGGTTGGATGGCGGCCGATCGATATATAACAGACACCCTAGAACCACATGTGGTTCCATACAGGCCTTTCATTGGTGAAAATTTCGTGCTAATGCAAGACAACGCCAGACCGCACACTGCCAGGATAGTGCACGAATATCTTGAGGAAGTAAATATTGCTACATTAAATTGGCCAGCTCGCAGCCCAGACCTCAACCTCATAGAGCACGTGTGGGATCACCTGGCTAGGGGAGTCCAGCGGCGTCAAGCTCCGTTCAGAACCCTTAATGAACTCCAACATGAAATAACCATAACATGGAACAACATGGAGCAAGAATATATACGTAGATTGTTTGAAAGTCTACCAAGACGAATGCTGGCTGTAATAAGACCAAGAGGACTAAAAAATACAAGATACTAAAAAATGTTGTTTTGCGAAGAATTTATTTTTTTGTAATAAATCCCATAAAAATTATAATAAACTCGATTTGATATTTTTTATTTACCCTATATTTAAAAAGAAAACTTTTATTTATGGTTTATGCAATTTCAAAAGTCCGAAATAAATCAAACTGAAAAAAATATGTTTAAAAAGCACGTAGCCAAAAATACTTGGAAACATTGGCGATGCGATAATTTTTGTGCGGTGTGTAATATCGAATAAGGGGTTTTCACCGATTAAAATCGTTATTCAGTCATACATATAAGTTGTAAATCAATGTTTTTAAATGAACAGTTGCCAAAATCTCTCAGAATTAGTGATAAACGATAAAAAGCCCAAAAGGAAGCCGAAAAAATAATTGCGATTAAACTGGTCTAGGGATTTAATCTCACTCATCTAAACAAAACTTATTCGAAAAATTAGATTAGCTGATTGGTCCATTTCACGATGAGGGAAATAATCAATATTAATGCATTAAAATGTCAGGGCACCGCACAGTGTGACGAAATTGAAAAACAATGGACATCAATGATTTTAAATTAGCGAATGTTAGTATTGATATAATTACCATGAATATTGATAAAATTGAGCGAAAATATTTTTTCAATTTATTATTACAGAGCGTGTGGTATAAGTTTATTTAGAAACAAAAAAATCACAGATCTTAAGAAGTGCTAAAAATAAAACAACATATTCTTACCTAATTGTAAATAATGTTAATACGAATCATTCTCCTCATCTCCTACTTCCATATCCATATCATCTAATAATTCCTGCGCTTCTGGATATAGTGAGAAATTCTTTTTCCAACTGTATTTTTGTCTAATAGATGAAATTAGTGGGTCTGACGAAATTAACAAATTATGCAAAATATCTTTCATCTTTTGTTGTCTGCCAATTTTTCTAGAAAAGTTTTGACGGAATTTCCTAAATTCTTTATTTCTAGCTTCGAGAGCTTCTTCGGTCATTTTCCCAATTGGAATCAAATTAAAATGTTTACAAATTAATGTCTGCTCCATGTATCAAAAGGATGTGAACACTTGAGGGCATATAATACCAGCTGTATAAATATATGTACATCTCTGCAGTGACATTCAAGTATGCACGAAACTTTTCGATATTAATTTTTTTCTCACATGAAGTGACTTGAAGGATAACTGCAAACCGATCAATTAGGTTGCTGTCTATATCAGTTATTCGCGAGGTTACTTCGTGATATCTGAAGAAAGTTCTGGCCATGTTACCATCGTTTGTTGTTCCATGTCCTTGTTTATTCCTAGCTCATCTCTAAAGACTTTTTAATTGCTAGTAGATATGCTTTTAAGTTCTGAAGTATCGGCTATTGCTGCTTTAATTTATCATGGTAGAGATCCCAACTTTTGGACTTAAAACCATATCTGCTAGAGTAACTGCCCAACAGGCAATAATAATATGATTTTTCAAAGTCAGTAACATTAGATAAATCATAAACACTATTTTATAAGTCTGGTGACTAAGGCCAAAAGCAAGGTGATGGCTTTAAAGTAAAAAATTCGAAAAAATGTTAGTGTCCCCTTCAAAAGCCCATATCTCCAAAAAAAATAAAGCTGTTGAGATGAATCAAAAAACAAACTATCGACTTAGATGATAAAATGATTTTTAAATTCCCTACTTTGTTATCGTACTCCACAGGGTGTTTCAAACATTCACCAAAATATCAACATTTTATGTTTCCTCGTATAATTGACAGAGGGCAACCTTCATTTTCAATTTAGAAAGATGTACTAAAAAGTGAAATAATTTAGCCACAAATAGCTTAAAAAATCATCACAATCGGTCCACTAAAATAATATATTGATATATTATTTATATGATGCAATAATTTTATTTACCTATACACAATATCTTAAAAACGAATGTTTTGAATTTGAAGAAATGTGTTTATTTTTAAATAGACGGTTCATATCGACATATATATTGTGCATTACGATGTTCCTTTCTTTGGCTTATCATAGATTCACTTTAGGTTTACGACAATTTTATACCTAATAAAATTTTTATTCCGTGTATCCGCTCCCTATTTTACGACATGCATTCAAATATTACTTACATTAACTTTAATATAAGCTTAATAAAAATATTTCTATTTGCGATAATAATAATTACATAGAAACAACAGTAATCGTTTATTAGCTATACCCATCTTATCAAATAGGTGTATTGTGACAAAACTTTCCAGATTTGTCCGTTAACATGGTAGTGTGGCCTTTATATAATTATAATTAAAATAATTTATTGAGCGGTAGGCAGAACTTGGATAATGAGAACACCGACTT